CCACGTCTGGACGTGGGGCAGAGACGAGCGCTATTTTTTTAAAGGTGAGGCTCCTGCTGTCGGTCGGCGGCTTCTCTTGAGCGAGTGCTTTCAGAGCGGGTCTGTGCCCTGACGGGGGAGCCGTCCGTAAGGCCCTGGAGCTCCTGAACTTAGGCACTGTGGATGCATCGAACGAATGAGGGAGGGAGGGAGTGGACTGGGCGGGGCTCTGGCCAGGTTGCCAAAGAGCTGGAAGATAGCACCCTCCCTGCGGAAGTTTTCCTTGATTCTGGAGATAAATCCCCTACCCCAGATGACAAGTGTGTGGAGGGGGAGAGCAAGCAGAGGGGACAATTGCTGTGACCCCGAATCAGTGCGGGAGCCACCCCAGAGTCAGGACGTGGCCCAGACGGGAAGAAGGGGCAGGACCTGGAGTGCCCAGAAGAGGACCCCTAGGGTGGGGGGACATAGCGGGCTGGAGGCTGAGAGCGAACAAGCATATCAGTGAGACGCTGTGCCCGGGAGGTGGCCAGGCGCTCACGCGATGGGCTAGGCTGGAAGGACAGGGTCAGCCGGGCACGGAGCCTCCAACGCAGGGCCAGGGCAGCGAGGAATGGAGGCAGCTCTGGGTGGGAGGGTCAGTGTTCTGGGGGAGGCGGGACCTGGGGGGGGTCCTGGAGGTCTTGGGGAGCACCTGGAGGAGCCAGGCCAGCAGGCTGCCTTGGCAAACCGAACTCATGGAGTCTGAGCCCAAACACGGTGTGTGCAGGCACTGCCCTTCCCTCCCCTGCGCCGGAGTCCCAGTCAGAGCCATGTTGCTTTAAATGGCTCCCCGTTAACCTCAAGGCGAGAGCCAGACTGGCAGAACTTTGCATCAGCATTTGCCGGAAGGGATCCATGAATACATTTAGTCCTGATTTTCCTTCTCATCATACAAAGAATTTTCCAGTTCAGTGACATAAAGACGTGGTCTCTGGCAGACTTCTGTCGTTTGGATGTTTCAGAGTAGGGAGCACACCCTTCCGTGGTTTAAGTCCTGACTGTGATCGATATTGGCAACACCGGGACTCCTGGGGTCAAGTTTAGAAGTAACTCGGGGAAAGCGCTCATCTGGGGGGAGGCCTCACTCAGAGGCGGAAGTCCCACCTCCTCCCACAGTCCTGCAGGCTCCGTGGGCGGCTGGGGCCTGCACGGAAAGCTGTTGCTCTGTCTTTCCCCCGAACTTTGCAGTCATAGGCCACGGCAACCCTTTTTGTTTGGCTCCCAGGAAATCGGTACTGGAGGTACGACAGCGACAGGGATCAGGCATACTCGGAAGATGAGCGAGGACACAGCTACCCCAGGCTGATCTCAGAAGGGTTTCCGGGCATCCCGAGTCCTCTGGACACCGCCTTCTATGACCGTCGGAGCCAGCTGATCTACTTCTTCAAAGGGCCCTGGGTACGTGGAGGCCGTGCAGCCTGGGGTTGCTTTTATCATCCCCGACTGAAGTGTCAGGTGACCGAGTTCTCGGTTAACAGCTGTGCTGGTACTGCCCTGGCCCGGTGACGGGGTGGGTTCGAGCCTCGTCCCAAGCCCCAGAAGGTCCATCCGGTCAGGGTACTTCCCAGGAGGCAGCTGATCGGTGTTTCTTTTACTCAATGTCTGTCTCTCTGCCTTCCTCTCTTTAATGATCGAGAAACTGCCAAGACCGGTTTGGCTCAATGGATAGAGCTTCGGCTTGGGGACTGAAGGGTCCCGGGTTCGATTCCGGTCAAGGGCATGTACCTTGGTTGCAGGCATATCCCCACAGTGGGGGGTGTGCAGGAGGCAGCTGATCAATGACTCTCTCTCATCGGTGTTTCTAACTCTGTATCTCTCTCCCTTCCTCTCTGTACAAAATCAATAAAATTTATTTAAAATATATATATATATATATATATATATATATATATATATATATATATCTCCTCAGGTAAGTATTAAAAAATTTAAAAAAGGTTGTGTTGTTAGTGCATGCCTATAAGGCAACAGATCACCCCATCATGTGGAAAATTAAGAACTTTCTATATTTTTAAAAAGATATCTTTATTGATTTCAGAGAGGAAGGGAGAGGGAGAGAGAGAAACATCAATGATGAGAATCATGGACCGGCTGCTTCCTGCTCATCCCCTATTGGGGATGGAGCCCACAACCCAGGCCTGTGCCCTGACTGGGGATCGAACATGACCTCCTGGTTCCTGGGTCAACGCTCAACCTGAGCCACAGGGGCCGGGCGAGTATGAAGAACATGGAGCCCGAGGAACGCGCTGTGACAGGTGGGCCTCCTTGCTGTGAGTCGGCGATCGCAGAAAGGCCGCCGTGCTCTCTGCCCGCAGGTGTTTGTGTTTGATGTCACCAGAAACCGAGTCCTCGGCTCCTCCCCGAAGAAGATGACGGAGGTCTTCCCAGCGATCGAGCGGCGGAACCACCCGCTCCGCAGCCTGGACGCCGCCTACTACTCCTACGCGCACCGGGCCGTCTTCCTGTTCAAAGGCAGCGCCTACTGGAGGGTGGCCAGCGACGGGGACCGGCAGCGGCGCCCGGGGCTGCCCCCCAACGGCCTGTTCCCCGCGCAGCCCATCCCCGACAAGTGGTTTGACGTGTGTGACGTCCACGCCTCCACCCTGAACATGAGCTGAGGACACAGGCCCGGACACGGCCCACGGGTCTCTCTTCGGAGAAAGAGCCGCCTGCTCTAGAGAAAAGCCCCCCGATCCCAGAAACTGAAACCAATAGGCCCCTCCATTAAAGCCAAGCGGAAAGTACTACTGAACTTTAAAATACTTGATTTAAAAACCAATTTCTTGATTGATTTTTTGAAAAAATTTTTTTTGCCAAATTATTTTGCAGACTTTTTAAGGAAAAGTTAAAAGAATTGTTGAGGAATCCGCCTGATTCCCATGGATGCTAGGGCTCTGCGGCCGAGTTCCCAGCACGGCTGCCAGCACCCGCACCCCCATTTCCAGAGCAGGCAGGCACCACGGCCAGCCCCTCAGAGCAGGAAATACTGGGCAGTGTCCTTACGCTCCGGGCGGGTGCCAGCGTGAGGTGTCTGTGCTCCTGCATAAGCTTGTCCCCATGTCAGTGATCTTGAGGCCAGGCACTGCGTCCCTTTAACTTTCACGTGACATCGCTTCACACAGGCAGAACCCATGTCATCTGGAATGACAGGGACAACATGTGCACAGAGGCGAACCGGGAAAGGTTCAATAGTCTCATGATCAGGCATAAACACAGTTCTTTTATTTTTGTTTTTTGGTGCCATGACAGAGAGACTCTTTAGTTCACAGGCACATTCAATCCATTGAGCCAAACCGGCTAGGGCCATAATCCTTTTAAAGGAACAGCTAAAACGCAAGCGCTTTGAAGCAGCTTTAATTTAAATTAAAATCAGCAAATCATAGAGCATTCTGAAGCGCCTCTCCCCACAGGAACCGCACACCACGCTGACAGGGAGGCGGCCGGCTCGCTCTATTCTCAGAGACCAGTTTCCCTGAGAGGCTGCTCAGCCGAGGAGTGCGGTCAGGACTGACGTTGCTCGGGTGCCTGGCTTGGCTCTTTCTGCAGAGACAGAAACCCTGTGACTCAGGAATCCAGACTGGAAAGGTCCAGGGCACAGTGCAGGCCAACTACCGAGGGGCTGCGATGCCGCTGTGCTCCCCGCAAAGACAGCGGGCGGACTCACAGCCGCTTTACCATTTAGTCAAAACATTAAGTGCTTCAACGACGAGCTTTAAAAAAAAAAAAAAAAAAAAAAAATATATATATATATATATATATATATATATATATATATATATATATATATTATTGATTTTTTTACAGAGAGGTAGTTAGAAACATCGATGAGAGTCATTGATCAGCTGCCTCTTGCACGCCCCCTACTGGGGATGTGCCCACAACCAAGGTACATGCCCTTGACCTGAACTAAACCTGAGACCCTTCAGTCCGCAGACCGACGCTCTATCCACTGAGCCACACCAGTTTCGGCACGACGAGCTCTTGAAAGTGGGTGCAAACCTGTCCCAAGGACGATGCAAATAAAGACGGACGTGGACAAACGGCGAGAGGCCTGCAAGTGTTGCCGGGCCAGCGCGGTGTTGGGAAGCCGCTGACAATCTGCCTGAGGACGCAGTGCGGACACCTCAGCTCAGAGCAGGTCCCCGGTTCCCGGGCAGGTCAGCCTCCTTCGGGGTGTAGCCGAGGGGCTGCCAGTTGACCTGTAGGACTGACGCAGGGCTGGCACTGAAGGCCGCCGGGCTGGTGTGTGTGCAGCCGCCGGGAGCCACAGCACAGTGACAAGTATGAAAGTCTAGTGAGACGCCAGTAGATGGCAGAGCCTTATTTTTAATGTTTTTTAAAATGACAATTTGTAAAAGTTATGTGAAATGAAAAAAGACAAAGACGTTTTAAATAAATAACTTATTTATTCAAAATAGTTTTCTGACCTTATTCACAGTTTCAAGTTTGCAATAGAAGTGGGGTAGAACCTATGCTTGGTCAGCTGTTATCCAAAGTCAGAGCGGCGGGTCCTTCAGGACGCGCACTCACACGGAGAACTGCACGAGGGCTGGTCTTTGGACACCCACACTGCAGCTCACAGGCGACTTCTTCCCGTGCCATCAGAGGGGACCGCTGGGGCTCTAACCGCGCGACTGCCAACGTCCCCAGGACAAAGGTCCCTTGGCCTAACGTAACATTTATCCAAAGTAATCGTGTCTGAAACCCACGTAGCTTAACAAACTCAACAACACATAGTGTGCCTGCACCACACCTCTGCTTCAGAGAGCGCACGGAGCTGGTCTCACTGATTCCGGCCCTTCCCACGCAGAAGCGGAGAGCTCGCCTGCCCTGTCGGTGGGGAAATGAGGACGCTGTGCTGCCGCGCGGTGCCCCCTGGGGCGGTACCGCCCACGCGTTTAATTAATGAAGCACCGAGTGGACAAACCGGCCCGAGTGCAGAAGGCACGGACGAGGCACCTGGGGGTGGCCCGGGCGAGTCACGGCACGGCACTGCCCCGCGCGAGCTGGTCCAGCAGGTGGAGGAGGACGTCGATCCGTTCCGGGAGGCTGGTGTTTTTGTTGGCGGTGGCTCTCAGAAGCTGCGAGTAGATGTGCTTATTGGTTTTGAGGGCCACATCTTCTTCCACGTTCCCGCTGGTGGGCAAACAGGACAAAATAGGAAGAAGGGGCGTAAACAGTGATGCCCCCACTCCCTCCATGTCTGCAGGGAGCAGTGCTCTAGTCATGCCTAGTCCACACCTTGTAGATCTGCTGCTTGGGGGCCTGTTTCTAGACATTCCTTTCGGCACGTCAGTGAAAACCCGGACCATTCTTTACACAAACAAGTGCCTGCCACGTACAGGCACTGCTCCTGGCATGAGCGGGACAGCCTGTTCCTGCCTCTCTGGCCTCTGCACTCTGTGGTGGAGGGGGCAGACAGCACTGCCCAGAAGGAAGGAGTGTCCGATGGCACACGCGTGGGAAGGACTCCAGGGAGCGGCTGGTTGGGCGCTCCCTCAGCTGGTGCTCCCATCGGAAGCCTCTGGGGCTGCCTCCCTGGAGGTAGAATTCCCTCGGACTTGCAGCCCAGACCTGACTCAGAACTACTGCGCCTCCACCGGCTGTGATGCTGGCGTAGTTTCTGTGTGAAGACCCCGGGGCTGGTTCCAGAAGTTCCCCACGGAACCACACCCCCAGGTCCTGGTGCCCACAGGAAGGTGGGCCGGCCAGGGCACCCGTCCCTCCCAGCGTCGGTGCGATGGCCGTGCGCCTCCGCGGCAGTGCAGGAGACAGCACACGCGCTCACCTGGTCTTCTTCCTGGTGGGAGACAGCAGCTTGATGGACTGGAGGAGCAGGAACGCCAGCCGGGACTCGAAGATGCTGAGCAGCTTAAGCACCTCCTCTCTGTTCAGACCAGGAGCTGCGTCAGCCACGGGCGTCGGCTCCTCGCTCTTAGGCTACAGACAGAGAGTTGCTCACCCAAGTTTCCCAACAACCACGGTTCACGCTGAAGTGACGGGCGGGGCTCGTGAACCCAGTAGCTTTAAAGGAAAACCCAGGCTGCACCCAGGTCTCCTCTCCAGGGCAGGCCGATGGCAGCAGCGGGGGCAGAGAGGGGGGCTGGGAGCAGGCACTGCTCCCCCGTCCCCCCCAGCATCACTTAATGAGCCAAGCATAGCACAACGCTGTCTCCAACCAACAGGCACTTACGAAGGAGAAACTAACCCTAACGACCATCTCCTAACTTCCCAGTATCAGAAGCAAAAGGCACAAGAAGGAAATGGGAACTCTAAGGGCTGACGAACCCGGGCCAGGAGAGGCCCAGCGGGGCAGCACGGGGCTTGGGGAGCTGCCCGCACGGTGGCAGCAGCAGGAACGCTGGATGCCCACACACAAAGGGCCTCCCGGAGCCTGCTCAGCCCGCTCACCGATCCACTGCCCCGGCAGGTTAGCAGAAATTACCGAGGGCAGATGCCCTTCTTTCTCTTAGGAAAACAAAACAAAACTTAACAGACTGAATACCAGGGCCTTACTAACCAACGTCTATGTGGTTATTTTAAAATGTAAGATACACTTGCAACTTAGAGTTAATAGCAATTCCACCAAGAAAATGTACTAAATCACAGTGAGTGTTTTATCCAGAGCTGCCACCTGTCTATGTTTGTACATACAGGGTGGGGCAGAGTAGGTTTACAGTTGTGAGGAAGCCAAACAGCTTACTCTTATATTATTATTAGTTGATTGTTGTATTATTTTCCATATGGACAACTGTAAACCTACTTCTGCCCACCCTGCACACACACACACACACCCCCCACACATGCCTGCTACATGCATTCCCCCTCAGTGTAGACATGGGACACACAGAGCTCCCCTTCTCCCGTACCTGGTCCAGCTCCTCCACGAGCTCCTTCCTGATGAGCTGGAACGCATGCTTGGTTCTCACCATGATGTCGAGAGCCCCAGACAGTGTTTTCAATTTCCCCACGTTGCTGTTCTGACCTGGCACGGGAAACACAAAACGGCCGTTCCTGTGAGTGAAATCTACACGCATCCAATGTCCACGCACCACCAAGCATAACATCTAATCTAACCTCAACCTTCCCTTAGGAACTACCCCAGAGGAAGCGAGCGCCGCCTAGAGCAGTGGTCGGCAAACCCATTAGCCAGCAGAAACAAGTATCAACAGGACAACGATTGACATTTCTTCTGAGAGCCAATTTTTTTTTTTTAACAAATTGCTTCTAACAACTCTTCTTCAAAATAGACTCGCCCAGGCCATGGTATTTTGTGGAAGAGCCACACTCAAGGGGCCAAAGAGCCGCACGAGGCTTGCGAGTTACCGTCTGCCAACCACTGGCCTAGACTCTAGAGCAACAATTTGTCTCCAGACCCCCAATTCTCCACTTGGTCCTGCCGAGTGAGCACAGCTCTTTGGAGAATCTGGTTCGAGTGGACCAGCCAGGAGGAGCCTGTGGTACGAGGGCCACCTCACCGTGGACCAGCCCCATGATGCTGGGCAAGTCTCTGCGGCCCTTAGTACCAGCTGTCTTACCAACCCGCTGAGGTATCGGGGTGTCACAGGGCGGCAGGGGACCGCCTCCTTTCCCACTGCCCTTCACTCCCAGGGGTCCATGCCTTACGTCTCTGTCTACACTGACCTGGCACATTATTTTCTAATATGGGCTCCTGGATCATGTTTGTACATTACTAACCCACTTCTCCGAGTTCAAAGGCACTCTGGCCTCCACCCAAAGCCAATGACTGGGAGAAAGAACAGAAACAAACAAACAAACAAACAGCCACTCCTCATGCCTGAGAGAGACGGCAGGCAGCCTGGCTCCAGGACACCGGGACTCACCGCTCATCTGGAACTCGGCGAAGGCCACCCGCTCCAGCTGCACCCGCAGCAGCTCGCAGGGCGTGTCCTTGAGCAGCTGGAAGAGCCTCCCCGCTTGGCCATAGTGCAGGTCGGCTAGCACGCGGTGCTGCTTCCTGAGGTACTCGTCCCCGACCTGCAACCATGGAGCGTGAGAGCAGGCAGGAGGCAGGGCTGGCCATAGCATCACCTCATCTCTGCCTAGGCCATGCATGATTTTAGTGGATTTTAGAGGCGGTTTTTGTATGTGTTAGTTTTAGCTGTCACACTTAGGCCTTCTCTCCCCGTCCCTTCCTCTCTAAAAAGCAGTTAAAAGATTAAAAAAAAAAAAAAAAGATCAAACTGTCTAAGTGGTAAAACACAGAGAAGGATAGAACATGCAGGCGGTGGCTACTCTGTGGGTGTGGGTGTGGGTGTGGGTGTGGGTGTGGGGGGAGATGCCACAGGGAGGGGCGCCCAGGGACCCTGCAGCAGTCTTCCATCCTCCACCCCGAGCGAGCACGCAGGCTTTCCTTTGGGGATTCTTTGGTACGTTTCCCATGAATCCCTATCACGATAATAAGTTGGAAAATGGGTACTTCAAGATGTACAAAAAGCTCCTCTTATAAAGCCTAACCATATTAAAAAAAAAAATCAATCAAAATACTAGAGCCATAATTTTGCAAACTAAGACCAAATCGATTATAGTACAGAAAAACATCTGGCATAAGAGGGGGAAATGCCTACTCGCCAGGTTTTTCTAAGTAGCTAACAGGACAGGAGGCATTTACAACAGAAACATAAGAGAAGCACCCCAACAGTTTTAAGGGGACCTGGCAGGAGGTGAGCGGGGCGGCGATACCTGGTTCCTCAGGCAGCTGTGGTACATGGACGCCAGCCTGTGGTGGATGGTGGCGGCTCGGTACTGACAGAGGGGCTGGCGGGCAGACGCCGAGTCCACGTCGCAGTATTTCAGGGACTTCATCATGGCCTCACTGACTTCCTTTTCAATCTGTTTGTTTTTAGGGGAGGCAAATAGGAAAGAGACAAGCCTGTAACTACACGTGAGAAAGTTAGGGACATCTAAGAACTGTTCCCGGGGAAGCCGCTCAGCATCTGTAAAGAGCTCCACAAGGCAGAAATGTCCGTTCAGCCGACAGAACGTACCTGCTCCTGCGCCTTCCGGGACAGCGGGGCATAGTCCTGCTGCAGCGTGGCCATGGTGAAGTAGGTGGTGGACAGCTCCCAGTTCACCGAGTCCCAGACGGCGGGGTGTCTGTCCCGGGTTCCCAGCGACCGCAGCGCTTTCAGGTAGTAGTCCACGGCCTGCGGAGGAGAGTGTCAGTGAGCCCGCCCAGGCCCGGTGGTGACTGGCTGTGGGGAGGACGGGTGGGAGGACAGTGCTGGGGGAAGGCAGTGCTGGGAACATCCTCCCTAAGGAAATGTATGTGGCTCTGAAGCACGCGCTCCCACGAAACCCCTGGTAAGCCGACTGGCGTAACACGAAGACGCAATTACCATAATACAGGCAATGTTTGCGTGTTGTCAGACCTCACGCATTTTCATTTTGTTCACCATGACCAAAAGGCTTCACTCTGCACGGGTCACGTTAAGGGTCACACTCTGAGCTCGCCTAGGCTTTTCTGACCCAGGACATGGCTCACCCTGGGACGCACAGACAGCAGAGAGGTAGCCTGGAAACAGGTCAGGTTCTAGGCTGGCCGCTCAGGCGCTGAGTGTGGTTCCGGGAGGGGCCTCGCGCTGCTCAGGGCGCGCACTGCCTAGGAACAGCTCACTGCAAAGCAAAGGCTGAATGCTTTTTTCACTTTCCCTTTCATTCTAAAAGCAAAAGTCCTCTTCTGGTTTCCCCTGGTTGGTGAAAGCAGGCTCTCTCTTAGAGGTTTTGTAAAAAAAGGAAAAAGGGACTCCCTGTATGCAATCAGATGTGCGCTGCTTTGGCACGCTTCCTCCAGCAGTGGATGTGACCGCTGGCCAGTAAGTATTTGATAGTCAGTGAAAGAAACTCGAGTGTTAAATCCCTTAGAAGATAACATTTTGAAATGTTGCTTCCATATTAAACATTTACTTCTTCTACACATACGAATTTCTTAATTCATTTGTCCTTTCTTTGATGGGGACAGTATACTTTCAATGCTTCCTAACTGCTATCCTTTGAGTTTATTAACCTTTGATCTGTCCTGTGCTACAGCTATTTCTCCTAGATGGTGGTTTGCTTTTCAGCTTTGCTTCCTGCTGTGTCTGTTAAACACTTTCTTTTTGCACATTTAAGTTGACCCCCTTTTCCTTTGTGGCTTCTGCTCGTGATGCTGGCAAAGTCCTTGCCCAGCCGTGAGCTGATCCCCTGATCCCTTTACAGTTCCACCTGCTCATATCCAACTTCAACCCACCTGACACTTACTCTGGTTACAGCCACACACCTCGCCGAAGATCACCTTTTACCCACCAAGCCAGTGTCATCTCCAATCCTGGGTCCTTAGTGCACTCAGGCCTGTCTGTCTAGTACTGTGCCATCCCACACTTTTCTTTACTTCGGTTTTATGATATTTAATGGAGCAATGGCAAAGGTAAGTGGCAGTTAGGTATGAATGGATGATGCCATGAGCAGATGTGTTACCTTGTTATAATACAAGCCTTCCTCTGGTGAAAATTCACGTTTAAATTCGTCTCCTGCACCGCAGTGCGCCTGTGCACAAATCCGCATGAGCCTTCCCGTGTTACATAACAAGAGGGCAGCATTTGTAGCATCATCAATGGACTCGAAGTTGTGAATTCCTTTCTCAAAGCAAGAAAAGCTTTTTTTCCACAATTGTTGCTCTGCAGTCGACACACTTTTGCTCACTTCATGAGAAAATTAAAACAAACAGTGTAAGTAGGCATCCGAGTGAGCCCCGCTCTCCCCACACCTGCCATGGCCAACCGGCGCCCCTCACCCTCACATCCATGCTGAGCGTGACTGTTGGAGAGAGGGCCTTTAAAGAGGTAAGTAAGGTTAAATGAGGTTATAATGTGGGGCCGAAACCCTACATGACTGGTGCTGCTATGAGAGAGACACCAGGGCCACCCACAGGGAAAAGACACAGCAAAGAGGTGGCCGAGGACAGAGCCTCAGAGAAAGCCAACCTGGCTGGCACCCTGGTCCTGGCCCTCTGCTTCCGGGGTGAGAGACTGGTGGTCGATGCCAACCCCAGGGTTTATTATGGCAGACCATACACATCAAACGCAGCCGCCTCAGGAGTGGCTGGCTGGTGCCACAGCAGCAAATCAAGCCACCTGGCTCGCACTGCATCATGAGACTGAGTTTTAAGAGCACAGTCTGTGCTTCCTCATTTCCTAGCACAATGTGCTTGCACTGATGGCAGCGCACAGCAAGGCAGGCTCCTGTTGGCCTCCTCGCCTCAGAAAACGATGCTGCAGCCACTGTGCACCCAGCACCAGGCCTGGCCCAGCTCGCTGCTGGCTGATCAGATGGAGGATGGAGGGCACTGAACTAATGAATTCCAAGGGAAAATCATGTTTTATCCTATTTCATTTCTTGAAAATTTAAGAAAAAAAGGTTGTTTTAACAGAGCATCCAGGACTTAAAACCAAGTGCCACGTTCCTTGGTTGAGCCAAAACCCATGTGGTTTTCTGATAGAAAAGGAAGTGAAGGGAGGACTCCAAAGGGATACTCACCCACTCTCTCACTCTGTAACGCAGCAGCCTGATTCATATAAAACACACCAATTTCGTTCCTGATGTTACCCATTCTCTTCAGCACTTGTACATAGTGGTCTGGATTTTGGCTTTTTAAGTCACTGAACTGCAGGATTTCATTGGCAGCCTCATAACATTTACAACTAACTGAAAGTTGACTTTCCAAGTCTGTAGACAAATCAGTTGCCCATGCAAATCCTTAAAAGAAAGAAAGGAAACATCACCACTGTGATTATGCAAATACTACTTCCTTAGTATCCAAGTAGTCTGACACTTTCAAGGTAATAAAATAATTGCAATACAGTATAAATATACTAAGAGTCAATCAATAAAACTGAACATTTAAGCTTCGAAGTAAAGATCTCTTTATTTAAGAAACTTACTTTCTTGGGACATTCATGTCTGATTAAAAGAAGTATTTTCCTGCCTAGAAATACCAGCTGCCTGCGTGCCCCAGCTTCTGCCAGGTGCACCCGCTCACCAGCGAGGGCCTGACACAGGGGAACCCCTTGCTCTCTCATTAAGGGGACCAGCTCTTGTAGGAAATCTCTGCACCTATGGCAGGCAGGCAGGCAGGCAGGCAGGCAGGCGGGCGGTCATGGACTATATCGCTTGTCAATCAACGTCTGACTCAATGAAGAAGCCTCTGGATGGGCCCGCAAAGACTCAAACTCACCATCTACCGGGGATGAGGGATGCAGAGCCCCCAATTCAAGAGGAAAGGGTAGCACTCCTGATGCCGCCCAAATACTTGAGAGACCGTCATTCTCAAGCCACATGAATACAATAGCAGCGTCAGAACACACTGAGGGCTTCCTCACATGTCAGGAGAATAAAATGAGGGGCTGCTGTGGGCTACGTGCTCCTGTCTCCAGGGAAAAAATCAGACAACTCGAAACAGAGTGACATATTTAGTGAGACTGCCAACCCTGAACGGAGTTTAAAGATGACCTCAGTGTCTGAGGCCCAGGCATCATTCAGAAGGCACTCCACCTACTTCTACCAATGCTATTCCTTCCCTAAAGACATCACGGCCCGGTCAGCGGACTACAGGGCCACCTGGAGAAACCTCCTGAGGAGACAAGTGCAGAAAGTCAACATAACTGTCCGAGAGCTTGTTCAGTCAGTTCTAGTTGTATAAGCAGTAATTATAAAACACTGCAAAAGCATTTATACACACACACAGGACCATGTTCCACATTAAAACTGAGAAATAAGGGGCACAGAGCAGCATCGAGCACCAACACTTCTGCCCCTTTTCTCCCACTCCCTACCCCGAGCAGGAACTCAGGGCCTCGCCGCCCACCTTGACAGCTGGACTCGCGGTGGAGGCTGTGCAGGATCTCCTGGTCCTCCTTTGTCTGGTAGTTAAACTCCTCCAGGTGAGCCGCACGGTTGTTGGCGTTCTGGGCCAACATCAGCTGGATGTCGCCGCAGAGCGTCAGGTACTGCGAGAGGAACAGCAGCACTTCGGAGAGCATGTTGGTGCAGAGGCAGCAGTAAGTGTCTGTGGGAGAGTGGGAAGGAGAAAAAGTGCGTCATGAACACAGTGTGTGTTAGGAAATCTGCTACCAGCTGTCTCCACTCTAAGTTTATTTTATATCAGAGAGCAAACATGGCTTCATGTTTTTCAAAATGAAGAAGTCATTAAGCCACTTGGAGCAGAAAATAAAATACTAAGTGACACCCAAGATGCAAGAGGGTGGCTTTAAAATTACATTTACAACAGGAGTAGGAGTAGAATTTTACTGGCACAATGCCTACTGTTCCCCTCCCAATGCCTGAGCATGCTCGCTCGCAGGGACTCACCGTGGCTCTGCAGAGCTAACTTGATGTATCGCAGCGCGCGACCATACTTCTGCAGGCTCATGGCAGCGTCCGACAACACGTAATAGGCTTTGGACGACTTGAGGATCAGCTGGAGCTTCATCTTGTGCTGCCAGGAGCCAGGGGTCATGCCGGACTGGCTGGAACAATTGCCCTTCTGCAGGGAGCCCACTAGAACAGGGAGAGGAGCACGTTCACGTTCCCATAGCTAACCATCAACAAGCAATGTCTGCTTCACAGAAGCCTCCAGGCTCAGGTACCGCTGTTGTGACAAGACTGGTCAACACCAGCTTCAAGTAACCACACCGAGTGGACCTTTTCCACAGATGCCCTGAGTTTCCCGAGCCTCCGCCTCCCAGCAGCAGCCTCGCTCCCCCTCAGGGTCACTGAGTTCCCTCACTCACCACCGACGCCGCCTCCTTCCTCCAGCTGCCCGGGAGCCAATGAATGCCTCACTGACACAAATAAGTTGGCTGCTGGCAAAGGACTAGCATCTTGTTCTACAGAGAAGGCCTTATTTGCACATCAATTCCACTTACTTTTGTCCAAAAACAAGGCCATCTGCTTCTCCAGGCCCTCAGGACCCCCCCTGGCAGATTCATCCTCATATTTCAATGGGATCGGGGTGCTGGGGTCAGCTGCAGGGAGGTCGCTGTCTTTCTTAATGCTGCTGTCCACAGACTTTAAGCCCTTTAAGACAAGGAGAAACACTTACTGTGCACGAACTGAAGGTCAACCAGAAACTAAATGTAAGGCAGTATCTGGACTACTGAGTACATTTAGCAGTTTTTGTATTTTAAAAACTACATTTGATTTGAGTTGGAAAAAGCTAATTTTCACTTTATGCTTCAGGGAGAGAAAACCCACAGCAGGAGATCCTTCAGCCACCAACAAACTCACCTCCAGAACATAGCTAAGCACAAGTCTGCAGCGTTCTTCCGTGTCATGGCAAACTGGAAACGCACAACTGGGCTTCAGAAACAAACATTTAAAATCATTACTATCCGACCAGTGACAATTCCACACCCGTCAGTTCCTGGGAATTACTAAACCTCTACAAACCAGCAATTTCAAAATGCGGTTGAGTACTCAACTTACTGAGGTATTAAGGTTAATGTACTGTTTTAATTGCAGGTTCAACTGATATAATAAGCATCATCAACACAAATCCTGCTTAACAAAAATATCTCCTGGCATACATGTTGCTTTTAGTACTTATAACTTTAAAAGTTATTCTACTTGACAAAAAAGTGAACGTAAGTAGTCCTGTTTTAGATAAATGTACACCTGACTTCCCAGGTCACTCAGCGTCTAGTCAGCACTGGTGCTGAGAGCACAGCTCACACCCCGTCCATTTACAAGCTCAGCGGCACCGGTGGTCTCTGTCACCGGTGCTCCTTGGGGGCGAGCCCGGCAGAGCCTCCGCCACTAAGTGGTGCTCTGTGGGTGGGCTGCCAGGCTCCTGGTTTTGGTGAACCCGAGAGGCTGGGGTGGCTGCTGACTAGACTGCAGAGAAGCAAGCACAGGGGGGTGGTATGTCACAGGGCACAGTGAGTCCGTGCTGGGGCCAGGGCTCTGGACGGTACTGACTCCTGGTTCCCAAAAGGACACTGAGCCCTGGCTGGTCTTGCTCAGTGATTAGAGTGTCAGCCCACGAGCTGAAGGGTCCTGGGTTTGATTCCAGTCAAGCGAATGTACCTCGGTTGCAGGCTTGATCCACAGCCTAGGTAGTCAGGACGCATGCGGGAGGTAACCAATCGCTATGTCTCTCTCACATCAACATTTCTCTCCTCCCCCTTCCCTTTATTCCACTTTCTCTAAAAATCAGTGGGAAAAATATCCTCAGGTGAGGATTAACAAAAGGGACACTGAGAAGGCCAAACCAACTAAAGACACGTTTATATGAACACTGACGACGTTCTGGAGTGCTTCGGAGAATGACAGACAGTGTTCCCTCGTAAACAACTGTAAACTAACATGTTACTCCGTCTTTAGTTACCATCTAACTGCTTCACGAGCCCAGGGTCTCGGTTACAATGCAGTAACACCATCTTTTGAGAGGCTGATTGTACCCACCCATTGTTGTTTTTCCACTGGTACCTCTTTAATACACACCGAAACAGGCTTACTCTGATCTGATGGATGGATTTGTACTTCTCCGGAACTGATAATTCTCCAACAGACTTGATTATGGCCACGGCTTTGTTATCGTCGGGAGGGTCAGAGCTGGTGCAATAGGCCCCATTTTCATCGCTGTCCGGCATCTCCTCCTCCTCCTCACTGTAACTCTCATCAGAATTCTCATTTAAGGGAGACTCTGCACTTTCTTCTTTTTTAGGTTCATCCAATTGAAAGAGTTCTGAAAGCATGTAATTGGCTGAAGCAATAATCTTATAAAAAGAAAGAAAAGGTGTGACTGTCATCAAACCTGAGCACTCGCTGGTGAAGGAGCTTCACTGCTGAGCGCCTCCAGGAGCTCCGCTCACAGGCTGCCCCAGCACAGGCCGCAGCAGAGTCGTGTGTCCCCCCCCCCCCCCCCCCACCGGTCCCCTGAGCGCTCTGAAATTCTCCCGGGTGTGTGTTTACTTCCTGAAAGTATCCCATCCCAGCACTCTCTTAAAAAGGTGGCAACCGTACTTCACTAGTCTCCAGGCAGAGTCATAACTACATTAGCAAGCATCCTATCAACTGAGAAACATTCTCTTCCTAAGCTATAAATAGGCAGCTGGTATTTACTCTGCAATCCATGGCCCCGGGGGAAACCCTCACTAGCTTAGTGAGGGAAAAGTCCATTGTGGGATTTCTTAAAATGGGCATGTACATATTACTACTTATTCCACTCTATCATTTATTACTAAGTGGTTCTAACAACATTTAATAGCTGTAACACCATATTCTGTCACATTCTGTATCCATCAACCACCACCTTTTCAACCAGCAATTAGATAATTAAGTTAAAAATGGTTTTCTGTTTTTCTGCAAAAAAAAAAAGTTTTCTCTTGGTTTGGTCTCTAGGATAATCTTTATCTCTAAACTGGATGTGACTACAATAAATATTGGACCTTAAAAAAAAAAAAAAAAGATCCAGACTGGAGATCTTCTTGATTTAAAGAGGCTTCAACTTAACTTTGCACCCAAAATATAGACACTGAGGGCACAAGGATAGAAAATCGGGGGCCCATGATTGAGAGACCATTCAGTGCTTTTATGCTGCACTGAAGTATGGACTTGAACCTTACCCATACTAACAGTGATTAACAAGATCCGTCTGTGTAAACAGATCTTAAGAAACTGTGAAAGTTCCCACTTCCCGGAGTGACAGCGTGAAGGAAAGTGCACTACACACGCGTCCTCCATTAGGAGTGTGACATGAGCCGCACATAACATTGCAGAGGTTCTAGCAGCCACGGTCACTCCTGGTTGGCTTAATTTTAATGTTATCTTTGATTTAAAAGGCACATGTGCACACACGATCCCAAAATCCGGGTGTACTTTACACTGAAAGCACACCTTAACTCAGAGCGGGCAGCTTTTCAGTGCTCAGCAGCCACACGGAGCTTCCCCCCCCCCCCACCCCCGCCCCCCAGAGGCAGCTACACACGAAGGCTGCAGTGCCAGGCACATCGTCAGACGCTAGGCTACTCTCCCAGAACATGCAGGCGTTCCTCTTACTTGAGGGTGTCTGCTTTTGTCCAACAATTTAACGCAGTTGAGAAGCAGCGTTCTGATAGTTCCGTAGTGTTTCTTGTTTTGGTTCTTTTTCATCATCATGTTGCAGGCAACCCTAAAAAACATTTATATCAGCTTGACGCCCACTCACCATTCTCGGCAAAGTTCAAGTGTAGGCTGCCCCTTTCCTCTCACTGAGTAAGGACCACAGAACAACAAGTTACCCTCCCCGCAAAGGTTTTTTTGGTGTAGATTGTGTGTGTGTGTGTGTGTGTGTGTGTGTGTGTGTAAGAGAGAGAGAGAGAGAGAGAGAGAGAGAGAGAGAGAGAGAGGGAGAATATGAATACTTGGCTCGGGTGGTGTGGCTGTGCACTCTACAATTTTACACAAGGCTCCTCGTCCTTGTCCCCCCTGGCGACAGCACTCACTTGTATAGGAGAATCGCCACGGGCATGGTGAACGGGTTTTGGTATTTGTCTTCGGTTTCTTCACAAAGAGTCGTGAGATCATACAGCTTCACGATGTCGCTGCCACTCGCTGCGGAAACAAGCAGAGTCTCATTCACAGCGGCCACTCAAAGCCATCAGACCACTGTTCGGTCCAGAATGAGCTCACCTTTAAAGAGCCAATAGGTATGTCCTTCTTTGGTGCAATTAGATTTCAGAAAGGATAAAATATTCTGTGCAATGTCTTTTATGACTTTAGTAGAAAAATTAGAGTTTTCCAAATTAGGAATCTCTTCTGTCTTTATCATTTCATACTTCTATAAAACAGAGAGAGGGCGGGTTAAGAGAAATCTCGCAGCAACACTTCTCTTCCTACAAATCGAGCATGTGTGTAAGTCCTGCCATTAGGGTCCTGAGCAGCCTGACCGAAATGGGGGGGGGGGGGGTTGGAGATTAGGGGCACAATGAACCAAGGCTGCTTGGACAGCACCACTGCTCTTAAAGCACCTCTGTATTTTGTCCCAGCTTATTTTCTGGTCACACTTCCCTAAACTCTGCTGCCCACATTTCTAAAATACTCCAAGACTAGGAACTCCAAACCAGCTGGTTAACTGGACCCCAGGCTCCTGAGGCTGGTGTCCACCCCTGGTTCAGTTAAAGCACTCCTGGATTTCAGAGAGCCCCTGGCCCACCTAACTGGACGCATCACCAGCACCTCATTTATTAACACTCGTCTTTTAGAATCCAGCTGGCGTTTTTGGGGACGCTGTCACTCAAGATCCACAGAAGATGCCACCTCCAGGAAGTCTGTTTTTCAGATCAGAAGAGACATGACCTCTCCTCTACATCAGATTTCTGTGTGTGCATCACCCTTCCAACGCTTAACCTGCGTCTCCTATTTTCTCTCTGCACGTTACTCCCTTTAGATCCTATCTTTCTGGGTCAGGACCATACTTTATTTTCTCCCCAACATTTAAAATGGGGACAAGGTGCCTCATCATAGAGCATGCTCAGCAACAATTTGCTATATAAGTGACCTATTACTGTGCCCTTTCCCTAAAACTTTGCATTTACTGAGTAGATAGCTGTGTACTGAATAAATACCTCTACTGTATAGACACTGTTAACGACAATAGGTGCCTGGCATTAAAATTACAGTCCTATGGCTACAGTGAAGGTTCAGTTTATGTATGATCTTCTCACAGATTACCTGTAAAATTATCCTCAACAACTCAAATGTGAAACACTTGAATTTCAGTTTATTCACAGCTATGGTCCTTGCTAAAAAGTACACCTTGGATTTTCAGTGAGCACTATTCTCCACACCCATTTGCTCTGGAGAGATTATTAGAGACACACGTGTCTTACCTGTACAATCCCATTTACATGGAAACACATCACAAGCTCTGGAACATTACAGATCAAGTTGTCCAACCAATAGTCAATTCCAGTTAGCACATTAATTGGCTTGTTGTTATCCCTAAAAATATAACATTTCTGGTGTTATTTGGGTTAAGTAAGATGTTTCACAATGAATCACTTGAGACTTTTTCTCCCATTTAACTATTTTAATCTGTGCTCCTACGTGGGAAATGCCACATAAGCTCTTTGCCGATGAAGTATGCACACGTAGCTGTCCTAGTCACCATTTCTGCATAAGCTCTGCTTGCTCTCTAACTAGAACCCATAGCATTTTCAGGAGAAACAGAGGAGAGATGGCAGCAGGTGACTGTGGGCCCACTGCACGCTCCTCCAACAACGTGACTGCCCACCATGCCCGCTGGCGCCCAGGCCGGAATGCACACCTGCTAATGTGGGCACACACTCTGGAGCATTAACAGGCGCTAGAAACCACCTCCTTCACTGTAAGTAAATTCTACCACACTTCACAAGCAGAAGCAGACGGAAGACAAGGCCAGGACAAGACCTCTGATTCCATTCAGCAAGGACAAGGGCGAACCCCCAGCTCCAGGGCATTCAGCCTTCCCTGAGACTAGCTCCTTCTTCGTTGTGCATTTCAATTCCACCAAGAGGGGAAGGGTGCCCGGATCGATGGGTGCGAGTAGACGGACAGAGGTCCTAAAGGAGAACGGGAGTGGTTACCTGAGACGTAAGCTGACTGCTGGGTATCTGCCTCCTCCAAATATAGGCATGTTGGAGCCAACCAACATATGTATGTCTTCAAACGTCCACAGAATATTCCGAACAAAGTCATTTTTAAGACCCTTTGATTTAAAATAAAATTGGAACGGTGATTATATAACACACAGGAGAGCTGTAATTCCCCCCACGATCCACAGAGAGACTAGAAAAAAGAAAGGACAAAGGAGACAAAGTAAGTGAAGAGGACAGAGCTGTAAGATCAGAGCTGTTTAGAAATGGACTTTCGGGATCAGGTAGATTTCCCCCCTACGAACTCTTAACGAAGACTAGTTTTTAGTGACGAAGCAGGCTGGGGCTGGGTGTCTGGACGCGGACACCCTGGGAAGCATACCTGACTGTTCTCCCCGTCATTGAATAAAGTAGTCAGGTTTTGTTCTTTAGGGGCTGAGGCCAGATGCCCCACTATGTATGAGGGTTCGAGAGGCTCACTTCCCTGTGAAAAGTGCAAGGATAGGAATGATTCTGCTGCCAGAAGTTCTTATAAAAGGCCTACTGTTAGAGTATCACCTAAGCATTCAAAGCAGACACCTCAAAGCTCCTGCTGTCATCAGGCTAAGACATATTCCCAACGCTTGTCCCTGGTGGTTTCCGACAGCGCTTAGCTCTCCCAGCCACCGCGCAAGCCAATCACATTTGGCTCGCACTCAGAAAAGATTAAAGATTACTTTAGCTTTCAAAGTTTTATATTTCATAATTTTGGGGGGTAAATTTCAATACCATTAATCTTTAGCCTACCCCATCTCCAATGAAAACATTCCTGAGAAACCCCAGCCCTATTTTGGAGACACCTGTTATGGTAATAGCCTCTAGTTTTGCATTTTGTCTATCAGACCTTGGGATATTTGGTAGAAATTTCCAGATTGAGCGGTGACAAAGGCTACTCGCTGTAGACTTGCTTCTGGAGAGTAACAATGCTTATCAGCATGGAAAAGCCTCTAAGATGTTCTGTAGTAGAAAATTGACTTCTCCTCTATGTAATCCAATGTTCTTAAACTGACTTAATCGCAGGACACTTTTAATTCTTAATATATCCTGTGGATTATACTTTCAAAAACACTTTTAGAAAGAGGAACTTTTGACAGTGGGTAAACTCAGTCCACCAGTCATTTTTCCAATCATTAGGCAGCTGCCATGAAGACACATTACTTTAAGTCGAATGTCAATGCCACCGTAGTCCCCAAGATGGGCATGCTTATGTGTGCACACACTGTAGTTCATGAACTCTCACCCTCGGTGTGTGCTAACAGGCTTAGCATCTGCCTGCAACGTGCATGTGACTGTACACAGGCTGTGTGTGTGGGTGAGTGCACGTGCATGAATCTCCAGCACTTTTGCTATGTGCTTAAAAATTACTCTAGAGCAGTGTTTCCCAAACTTTTGATATATGTGTACCCCTTCTATAATTTTCGTAATGCTGAGTACCCCTCATACTCATGAGAATGTAGAATTAAGCGCAGCTAAGCACGGTGCAGTGCATATCCCCACCAAACGCCAGTGTAATTCGTACCCCCACCAAACTCTTCCCGTACCCCTGGGGGTACGCGTACCACACTTTGGGAAACACTGCTCTAAAGCTTTAAACTTTTTTATTATTTATTTACAAAGACAAGTTATTCACCTGGGGACCAACTCCCAAAATCGTATTTGCCAGGTAGTTGCTTTAATGAGAGTTTGGACTCTAGGTTATGATGTTCCAAATAAAGGTCTGGCACTCAGGCCATTACAAAAATACCTAGTTCGCCTACTTCAACTCTATTATTGCTTAACCCAGACCTCAAACTAGTGGTTAAGGTTTGGGGAACAAGGATTCATAAGGTAGTGGCTTACAGACAAAAATAAATCTCTAAATGCTGAAATTAAGGCTGTATAACATGTTCTAAAAATATTCTGTGAAAGGTTATTTTATGGCAGGACAGCTCTTCACGGTACTTGGCATTGCTAAGACAACCTGAATGCTTTGAGGCCATTCTGAACATGTGTGGAACACGTGGACACAGTGGAGCACGGCTCAAGAACAGGCCTCTGAAGTCACAAGGATCTGAACACTAGCTTAGATTTCACCAGCCATGCGACCAGGGACAAACATCACTCTGTATGAGCTTTAGTTTGTTTACTTGTAACATTCAGCGCATACCATAACACGTATGCAGTACTTTATACGAATGGCATGACATGCAGAGCATAAAAAGCACTAACTAGATGCCAGTTCAGGTCCTTCTACAGCTTCTCAACAGCCTCCAAGGTCTTTGAGAGGGAGCCCTATACAAGCTAAGGACAGAATGGGAAGGGGAGGTGGGTGGTGGGAGATGGTATTCCTATCGTGTCTGTTTATAATGTGTGGGTTTTGAAGCCAAGGAATACAAAAAGAATTTTTAAAAACTCCTTTGGTGAACTATAATCACATACATGAACATGTATAAAACAAATAACACAACGTAATGGCTAACTACAAAGCAAATTAATTATCCTGTGTTAATACCAGTGTAACCAGTTCCCAGGCCTGACCTGGGCCTTGCGTGTGCCCGGCCCCCACGCCTTTTCATTCACACCACCCCTTCCTGCTAGTTTCTGTTGTCACCTTGCATGGTAATTACTTCCTTTCCTCTCCTCAGTTTTTCCCAACTTGGGAGAGATTTGAATTCATTACATAGTTTAATAAGGTTTTTCCATCTTAAAACCTACAAAAACTAAAATCAAATTAAACATATTTGCCTCCTTGTAATCCTATAATTTGTAAAGATAGCAACAATCTGGGTGAATAATTTTCAATATGTGAGAACACGTAGCAAAAGGAAAAATAATTTACCAAGTTAAAGATCCTATTTTTATTTACTTTAAGTTTATCAATAGGTTTACCTGAAACAGACATACAATTCACATCTGTGGAGTTCTTTTTTTCTTTGATAGAAACAATGACAAAACTAATCAAGCAATAAGAGGAAACCAAGAATGTAAGAGACAAAAAAGAGACAACATGTTCACTTTTCCTTCCTTTCTAAAAACTTTCTAACATTATTATAGGTTAAAACCTCAGGAACCTCATCCAGAAAATCTTAAGGGTGATTTCAGCCCTAAAAAATCTGACTAAAAGTTAAGGTCAGTATTTAAATTACAAGCAAGTCTCTGATTCAATATTTGATAGGCATTTGCTTTGCACCTAAAGTTTAAAATATACTACATCACTGTATTTATTATGTATTAAATACTCTCATGACTTCAAGAAGATAGTCAGCATTGATAAACATATTGGTGAGCTATGTTAAATGCTGAGAACATTTTTTAAATTTTTTAATTTAAAAAAATCTGATCTAGCCATTCATATCACTTGCAAATTCTTAAAACAAAATTAAAAGAAGTATGTGTTTATAATTGTGAGACATACATTGATAGAATATTTTATATTGCTGTTCATCTACTTTTACTGGCAAGATAATTGGTTGTCTTCTTAAATGAGAATGCTGAGTTAGCCTTGGGGTACTAACTGACCTGACTGGAAGCACTGGGATCTTCGGAAACTGGAGAAGGCATTTCGAAGGGCGCGGGCCATGATGCCCCATCCGAGTCACCTGTCTGGTCTGAACTGGAGGACTCCTGCTGTTCGGCAGCAGACGGGACAGGCTGCGCGGCCCCATCGCCATTGATACTGGCCAAGTCAGAAACAGAAATATCACACTGTCATTCAGGGTAAGCTCATGCAAGCCTACTACTTTTTAAAGCCAGACTCTATAATCAAGCATACATCTTACTTTTAAAGAAAAGAAATATAAAACATTAAAATGTAAACAATACCATAGTGACAAACCTTAAATTATTTTTTTTTCTGGCTTCAAATTAAATTTTAGATTAGAATTTAATTTGTCATCTTTAAGATAAAATAAACAAAGAGCCAAGTACCTGTAATATAAAAACTTGGAAAGAATAGCCTTTTGATACCAATGCTCTTTGCTCTTTTTCTTCCTCTGCCACTTCTGGTCAATAAGTCTCTGATAAAACTCTTTCAGCCACGTCCAATCACCAGTCTGAATAACATAAAAAATTAATTAATTCACAAACATGTAGTCAAAACAATTTGTTACCTATTACTCTTCTTACAGGAAGTACTCTTTACTTCTTGAATACTGTTTCATAAATACGCCCTCAATGTAAACCACCGTAACTCATCTTCCTTTACCGATGCATAGCAGGAATAGTGTTAAATAGCCGCTGTGGGACTGGTGGGACCGTGAACTATGTGTAGAAGCCAAACTCTATAATCAAGCATACATTTTACTTTCTAGTTAAGTACAGTTAAGTACAGAAACAGAGAGTAAGCCTTGGGAAATAATAATATGGTTATTTTGTACAAAAGCACTCATCATCAATACACAAGGGGTGGTGGTGGGGATAGGCATTTACCAACATTGTTTGAGAGGCACTGCTTTACATGAACCAGTTAATTCTAATAATTATATATCTGGAAAAATAACAACCTTTTTCACATTTCCTGGCAGCCATGTTTCACAAGAATCTCTTTAAAGGAGACATCACAGGGTTTTTAAAAAATTTAAACTAGTCCCTTAAATTTCAGACTTTTCATCACTTTTTCATTGGCTTCATCCTTTTCCTTGCAAGAATCCTGCTGGTTGGTATCAGTAAGTTTCTTGGAATTCTCTCCTTTCTACTTTTTATTATCTGTGAAACTTCTGGCTCCTAAGTTGCTGACTCCTCAACTTTGTCTCCACGTGGGCCTTTCTTGGGAACAGATCACCTTCCTAGTGCCCTCGGGTTGCTGACACGCTGCTTTCAGGTGGCTCCTCAGCGTCCTACCTGCGAGGACCTCATGAAGAGCTCCTGGATGTCCAGCTCGTCCAGCAGGAGGGTCCTCCCGACGCGGTGCACTGCCATGCTCACGTGGGACTTGCTGTAGGGGATCTTCAGGAGCTTTTTTATGTTCTTAAGGAAATTAAGAGGAAAGAGTTTAGAAAGACCTTTTTTAGTGATTCCGGAACTTCCCATGCATAAACCTTACTTTCCCAAGGTTATCCAAATTAGCAAACACACGAAGCTAAATGCAAACACACGAAGGACAGTTCTTTAAAACCTCAATCACCTGCGCTTTACAAGTCATACTGTTAACTTGACGGTCACACTTGCGCTGACCTAGGCTTTTAACATATCAGATAAAGATGACCAACCAAGGAGCAATCCATTTTGCCAGAAGCATCATATCTCATTCTCAACTGGAAACATACAAAATCATCCCATTCTAATCACTGTAACTGCTCTTTTTAAGACACTACCAGTGCTTTGGGTTATTCCTTCCTCTCTGAAGAAAGGCTATGTGTTTGTTTAATAACAAAAAAAGGCACTTAATAATCAGACAGTGGTCTCATTTCATCAGTTTTTCAAGACTCCTGCATAGAGCATGCTCTAAGTGCCTGGCACCAATGGCCTTCCCCACCAGGACACTTACCTCAGAGTCAGAGACAACGTCCACATCGTTCCCCACGGAATCAATAAAGTCGTACGCCATCCCAAAGCTAATGGAGGGAACGAAGGCCACAAAGGTCACGCCCACAGTGATGCAGGTAGTTTATCATAGATAATGTCAACTTCAACATTCCCACATTCTGACATCTCTGTATCAGCATACCCCTCACCATTACAGCTGGCTATTTTTCCTTCTTAGTGGCATATAAAATAATGGTGTTACTTAAAATCAATGGCATCTTAGATTTGATAAAATATAGTAATAATCATTAGGAGCAATTAAAAGGAAACACCTAGAATAAAGACAATAAATAACTATTTTCATTTTGGTAATCACACACACACACACACACACACACACACACAAAAACCTCCAAGAGAAAATAGTTCAAGGTGTTATTCTTAGGTGAAAAGGTAAGAAAAATAGAAACAAACATTTTTCAAGATTGAGTTTGGGACTGTTCCTAGAGATATACAATATTACTCTTTTAAAGTATATATGGGAAAAAATACACCCAACTCCAATTCGGCCAGGAGGAAAGAAAAACAATGTGTGCCAGATGCCACACGTGGCACATCCATATGCGGCATATCCCTAACCCACAAGCCTGAAAAGCGTCCGTGTCCGCATTTCCTAGCTCGGAGCCAGGACTCTCACCCGGGACCCCCTCACTTCAAAGCATGCTCCGATGAGTTACTGTGTGGGCTGGGCAAGCTACTTAACCTTCCTCCGCTTCAGTCTGTCCACGAGAAAATCAGTCAGCAGCACGAACTCAAAGGTGGTTGTGAGAACTAAAAGACTCCAATGTATGAAGTACTTAACATAGGGTGTGCAGTCAATATAATTATTGTGTAAGTCACCTTATAACATTTTGTTGTTGTTGTTAATCCACACGGATACCCTTTCCACTGATTTTTACAGAAAGTGGGAGACAGAGAGAAAAACATTGATGTGAGGGAGACATCGACTGGTTGCCTCCAGCACGCACCCCAACTGGATCAAGCCTGCAATTGAGGTGCGTGCCTGTGACCGGAATCGAACCTGAGATCCTTCAGTCAGAGGGCAGATGCTCTAACCACTAAGGGCACGGCTGGGCTCACCTGCTAACATTTGTGGTCACATATCATAATTTAGTGAGCCGTTCTTCTAGAAGATACACGGACTGCTTCCAACCTTTGCTAGCAGAAATACGGCTACACACACACACCACTGTGCAAATAGAACTTTTCCGAACCACTGGCTCATGAGGCATTGATGTATTTATGGCTCTGCCATACATTGTATGGGAATACTTCAGGTTCAATCACCGAGAGGGAGAACCCCACACATGACATGGTCTACAAGAAGATGGTCGTTCATACATGATCCTCAGCAAGACCCAGGCTTCCCCTCAAGTGCCGCCCGCAGCATTTCCAGCAAGTGCCCAAGTCAAGGCTCAAGCCACCGGCCAGCATGCTGGGCGTCCGCGCCAGGCCGTCTCAGACGGACAGCCCAGCGCCGTCAGGTGGGAGACTCCGCAGGAGCGACCCGCCGCCTCAGGTCGGCGCCCCCTGCCTCTCTGGGGTCGGAATCCAGCTGTCCATAGGCGCGCAGACCCGAGAAGCCTGCCACCCACCTCCCTCCGGCACCGTGACCCTGCTGGCGGGGAGGGCTCTGAAGTCAAAAAGGCCTTTTCCATTGAGAGGCGGCCCCGGACAGGCGGCGAGGCACCGGCGGGAAAGCAGGGGCGCCGCGGCGGGGCAGGGCTGGCGCCACTCACCTGGAAAAGGGCTTGCTCTTCCTACCGGTGCCCAGGATGGTGGTGCCCGCGGGGCCCAGCTTGGCGCTCTCCCGTAGCCAGTTGGCGGGCGGCAGTTTCAAGTCGGTTTTCTCCTCCAGGCGCGCAAAGGCCGCGCGGGGGGGCGCCGCGGAGTACTTCACCACCGCCCGGCTCTTCACCGCGCCGCCCGGCAGCAGCGCCGAGCCCTGGGCACGGACAGCGGTGAGCACCCCGGAAGGAGGACCCATGGGGCACCGGGCCAGCTCCTTCCCCTTCTACATCCCGTCCCGCCGAGGGGGAGGGGGAGGAGGAGGAGGAGCAGGAGGAGGAGGAGGAGCAGGAGGAGGAGGAGGAGGAGCAGGAGGAGGAGGAGCAGGAGCAGGAGGAGGAGGAGGAGGAGCAGGAGGAGGAGGAGCAGGAGGAGGAGGAGGAGGAGGAGGAGGAGCAGGAGGAGGAGGAGCAGGAGGAGGAGGAGGAGGAGGAGGAGGAGGAGCAGGAGGAGGAGGAGGAGAAGGAGCAGGAGGAAGAGGAGGGGAGGAGGAGGAGGAGGAGGAGCAGGAGGAGGAGGAGGAGGGGGAGGAGGAGGAGGAGGAGGAGCAGGAGGAGGAGGAGGAGAAGGAGCAGGAGGAAGAGGAGGGGAGGAGGAGGAGCAGGAGGAGGAGCAGGAGGACGAAGAGGAGGAGCAGGAGGAGCAGGAGGAGGAGGAAGAGAAGGAGGGGAGGAGGAAGAGGGGGAGGAGGGTGCCGGCTGTCAGCTGGGTGACAGGCCGGCCAACCTGCCTTCCGAATGTTCCTGCCAGAAGCTGGAGGAGCCGGGCCAAGGGGGGGCGATACCACCACGTGAACGGAACACACCATTTGCTAAAACCTCTGCTCAGCCCTCCGGGCACTTTAATTTTAACTCCGGCCACACACGCGGGGGCGGAGTGTGAGGTAAGATCTGCGAGGCTCTGCTGTCTCGTAAGCAAACGTTTAGTAGCCGACAGGCAGCGCCTGCAGGCCGGCCGGGCCGGCCAGGGCCCGCCCCCCTCCCCCCCTCGGCACTCCTGCCAGGCATTCCGGAACCACACGGCTGTCCCCGACCCCCAGAGAGATGCTCCCTCCAGGGCTGAGCTCGGCTCTGAGAACGACAGGCGTCTTAACAAACAGCGCCTTTGGACGGCCCGTGAGCGCGGACGGGGGACGCCCTGTGTTTACACGCCCTCAGCAGAGCCGCTCCGAAGCCGAGGCCGGCGGCTGCGGGGAAGGTGACGGCAAGGAGACGCCTGCGTCCCGGGGCTGCCGGGGAGCGGGGGGCGCCAAAGCCGCCGGGAACCGTGACATCCTCCCGGCGGGCGGCCCGCAGCCCGCAGCCCGCGGCCCGCGGCGGACGCACCTGTGCAGAGGGTTCCTCGGACTCGCCCTGGGACAGGAGGCTGAGTCCTCCGCGAGCCGTGGCGCCGGGCGGCGGAGCCTCGGCCCCGGCCTCCTTGGGGTCCCCCATCACCCCGGTCCAAGGGAGGCGAGGCGAGGCTGGACCGGAGCGGCCGCCACAGGAACCCGGGCCCGGCGACGCCGCCGCACAGCAGAGCGCGCTCCCGGGACGCCCCTCACAGTACACTTCCGGTCTCTCACCGGAAGGAGTTGCGGCGGCGCGTCCACGTCTCGCGAGCTTTGCGCCCGCGTCCCGGCCCCGCCTCCCCCGGCGGCAGCCACCTTCGCGGCGGGGCGGGCGCTGTAGTGCGCCTGCGCCTGTCAGAGCCTCCGCGGAAGACCACTTCTCGCGATAGCTGCCTTCCAGGCTCCACCCCTCGCGCACGGCTGGTCTTTGTTGACAAACAGTTCTGGGCGCTCGGACCCGGCGCGCGGTCGGTGTCGCCAGGGTCCTCGCCGCGTGGGTGGCGGGAGGCTGCTGCCCGCGCCGCCAGCGGCTCCGCTCCGTGAAGCGTGCGGGGCGAGCAGCTCTCCCAGCCCCCGGCCGCCTCGGTCCACACGGGCTCGCGGAGAGCGCCCAGGTGCGGGCACTCGGGTTCCAGCGCTCCGCCTGCGCGTCCCGTCGCCGCATCACAAAGCCCGAGGGCCGCAGTCCGAGGGTGGCCGCGGCGCCCAGCGGCGCAGAGTCCTCCTCCTTCCCCGAAGGGACGGGCTTCGGAGGCGCAGGGGTCTGCCAGGTGCCGCGTTCGCAGCATCCTGGGAGAGCCCGCTGTGCGTGGGGCCCGGCCAGCCAGCCAAGGGCGGTCCGGGGTCCGGGGCCGCCTCCGGCGCTGCGGGGCCTACAGCCGCCTGGGGGCTGGGTGACAGGCCGCCGAGGGTGGCTGAGCGGCTGATGGCTAGCAGACTCCCTGGAGAGGATGCCCGTGCTTTGAGGAGCAGGGAGGTGGAGAACCAGCCAGACCGGCGTACTGCTTTGCAGCTGCAGGGCGCGCTCAGCCTCGGGCTCCGCACCCAATGTCATACCAAGCGTGGTAAAATGCAGCCGTGCCCTTCATACAAGTTCATGATACTGGGAGGGCTTTTTATTTTTTGAAAAAATAATTTCTCTTTCAGTTACGTGCCTTTCTCCATTTACGTTCGCCCCTGGTAACTCACTGTGTGTACGATTTGTAGATACGTCAACACGAGTTGGTTTGATATTTTGTTGTCAATTCTTTTTTTTTTTTTTTTTTTTTTTTTGCAAGTAATACATTGTTATAGAACATTGACCACTACTTTAATGTCTAACATTAGGAGATGGTTAAGTCTGTTTTCGGTCCATAATAACATTAATGTGTGCGACTATTGTTTTTCAGGAACATTTACATTGTACATGATATGATGTTAAGTGATATTTTTAAAAGCAAATATGCAATGTGATCCTAATTTTAAAGCATGTCTATTGCTGTATTTATGTCCATAAACACGAGTGATAAGATGAAGTGATTTAAAATATATTCTTTAAATAAAGGTTTCTTTACTTCTTTCTGATCATGCACTACAGGGAGACCTCATTTTGTTGTGCATAACTTTATTGCACGTTACAGGTGTTACATTTTTTTTTACAAACTGAAGACAAAACCCTCCACCAGCACAAAAATGACCACTCATTGCTATTCTTGCTATTTGATATGGTCATCTTGAACGGAACCTGCCATATCTCCAAGGTATGCCTGTATTTTATAGTAAAAATGTAATTTAAAAAAATACATTTTTATTGATTTTAGAGAGGAAGAAAGGGAGAGAGAAATATCAATGATGAAAGAGAATCATTGATCAGCTGCTTCCTGCATGCCCCCTACTGGGGATCAAACCTGCAACCTGGGTATGTGCCCTGACTGGGAATATAACCGTGACCTCCTGGTTCATAGGCTGACCCTCAACCACTGAGCCACACTGTCCGGGCAGTACAATGTAATTTTTATGATGGTTTTCAACATATACGTATATAAAATCTAGCTTCTAACTTTCAATTCTGTTTTATTGTATAACTAGAGGCTCGATGCACGAGATTCATGCCCTGCAGGGTGGGGAGAGTGTCCCTCAGCCCGGCCTGCGTCCTGTGGCAGTGCAGGAGCCTTGTGGGCCTAAGCTGCCAGTTGGACAACCTTAGGGCTGCGGGGAAGGCAGGAGAGGCTCCCACCACCGCTGCGCTGAGTGGTGTTCCTGCTGTGTGACACACTGACCACCAGGGGGCAGCTCCTGTATAGCAACCGGTAGTTCCATGGTTCGGTTGATTTGCATATTAGCCTTTCATTCTATAGGATTCCTTGTAAGAAGGGATTTCGGAGTTAGTGATTCCTGTTCACATAGATTGAGAAGTCGGTGCCAGAGCGCTTGTTGGCGGTGCTCAGTGGGAAATGTGCCGGAAACAGCCTGTGAAGAGGCGGAGAGTGACATGGAGGGAGCCAGGGACTCAGCACAGCAGAGAGAGTTCAGCAGGAGGGTCCTGGGAGCAGAGGGGGTTGTCAGGCTGGGGGGCTGGGGTCTGAGAAGGGGCAGGGTTTCCCGGGGCCACTCGTAGGCTAGGGCAAGAGAGATTTAGGTGATAAAGGAGTGTGACCCCGGAGGGCAAGAGAAGTTATGTAAGTTCATTCATTCTTCTAGTTTTGAATGCTTTTTAATTTTTCTTTTCCCTATTCAAAAACTTGTGTGCTGTGGGTTTTTAAAGAAATTATCATTGTTTCTAATGTGATTGAAATAGTGGGAAAACATGAATCATTACTTCCAGAATTTTGCACTTTAAGATGCTTATTTAGGCTCACTTTTTGTATTGTTCCAGTGTATGCTCTCCCCCTTCTTCCTGCTCCCCCCACCTCCCCGCTCCCGACACCCCTCAGATGCACTTCCCCACCTGTGGCCTGCTCCGCAGGCGGTTATCCCGGTTCTTGTCGCAGTCTGCACTCTCCCCTGTGCCTGACGTTCTCACCACCTAAACACTGTTTATTGAATAAACAAACTGCTCAGTCCGGCCAGTGTGGTTCAGTGGTTGAGTGTTAACCTATGACCCAGGAAGTCGAAGTTTGATTTTTCCATCAGGGCATATGTCCAGATTGTGGGCTTGATCCCCAGGAGGCAGCCTATCAATGATTCTCTCTCATCATGGATGTTTCTGTCTCCCTCTCCCTTCCACTCTGACATTAATAAAAAGTATATTTTGGGAAAAACCTGCTCATAGATTTCTGCTTATGGTACAGGTTGTCTCGACGTGTTTCAGAACGGTCTCTCCTGACACCCTCCTTTCCCCTTAGAGTCCCTTGTTTCCAAAGCTTTTTATCCCGCTCTTGTCACTCAACAGAAAGACTGCCTGTTTGCAGCTGCCTCCCTCTCCGACTGCGAGCTTCTCAGGGAGGGCCTGTCTGATCATCTGTTTTACTGACACCGGGCACAGCACACCGTTAGCCCGTAGGCCAGGCAGGTAGGATAGCGAGTGCCAACAGGCTTTCACAATGCTCAGCAGAATGTTCGAGACATAGAAACAATGTTGTTGGCTCTGAAATATTTCTTAACTCCGCAAAATCAAAGCTGAAGATGTTTAATGAAGTGTCTCCCAAATGTACCAGTGTCCTGCCGGAACTCCAGGTCCTTCCCGCTGTGCTTGCCAAGAGAGAGACGGGGGAGGGGAGGGGGAGAGGAGAGAGGAGAGAGGAAGAGAGAGGAGAGAGGAGGAGAGAAGAGAGAGGAGAGAAAGAGAGAAGGATTCTCAGCTGTCCCCGCCCACTGTGGGCCCTCCTGCCTTTCCCCTGGGCTCGGCCTTTGCAGGCCCCCAGGGACCAGTTGCTATAAAGGGCCTGCGGGCGGCGGCTTCCCCGGAGAGAGCCACAGGGGAGCGTCACGTAGTGCGACAGTGTGAGTGGCCTGGCCGCTGCCCCGACAGCCGCACTCCCCGTGCCCATGGCATCTGTCTTCCTCACCAGCATCTTGGGGCCTGTGTGTCATCCTCAGGGTCCCTTGGCCTCCAGGCTCCCGTAGCAGACCCCACCCATGTGCGTGTGGGCAGGAGGTGGCCCCCGCGCCCGTTTCTGACACTGATCCACAGTGTTTTCTGTCCGAGCCGGAGCCGGCATCCGGCCGCCAGGCCCCCTCTGCACACGCTCGTTCCTGCCCCCCAGGGTGAGGGCGCCGCCTTTTAAACGCGTCCCGGCCTTCCTTCCTTCTTATCACAGAGGACAGGAGCAGCCCCGCTGCTCACGTGGGCACTGAGGGGCAGTGCCAGGCAAAGCCTCGCTCCCGGGGAGCTCGGAGGTGCTGATGCCAAAGGCGCTTATAAGCACAAAGCGGAAAAGGCATTTGCACGCGTTTGCTGCTAGTGGCATTTCTCGCTGGAACCTTCTGTCTGTGAACATTGCTGGAGGATTGGCCTCGGCTCCATCGCGAACATCACTCTTCTCGTGGCCTGGGCGGAGGGGAGGTGGCGGAGCAGGAGGATGGAGAGCTCTCCCGGCGAGGGCCTCGGGCCTGTCTCTCCCGGAAAGGTCTGGGCATGACCTGGGTGGGCGTCTGGAATTGTTCGGGAAGGACCCGGGTGAAGTCGGATGCTTTGTGCCCCTGGGCTGGGTGACTGTGTTATCTGAGCGCAGTGACTCCCGGGAGAATTAGCGGCAGGGAGCACCCTCTCAGGCAGGGCTGGGCATCTTTTTCCTGCCAAGGGCCCCACGGATACTTACAACATCACTCAGGGCCACACACAATCACCCACTTAAAAACCAGCCTGTTAGCCTGGTTGGCATGGTGCAGGGGTTGAGCATTGACCTATGAACCTGGAGGTCAAGGTTCGATTCCCGATCACAGCACATGCCCAGGGTTATGGGCTCCATCCCCAGTGGGGGCGCGTGCAGGAGGCAGCCCATCAGTGATTCTCTCTTAGCATTGATGTTTCTCTCTCCCTCTCCCTTCCTCTCTGACATCAATAATTAAAAAAAAAAAAAAAAAAAGGAGGTCCAGGCTAGTGGTTCCCATGTGAGAATCACCTCCAGGGAGGCGGTGAGCCCAGTCTGGGGGCCTGGGGAAAGGCTGCCTCCTGACCTGGCG